ACCCAAAAAAAAAAAAAAAATAGTGAACCTGTGAATTATTCTCACAATTAAATTGAAAGTAAAATTTACTTACTAACTCAAACCTTCTAGAATCGAAATTAGCAAAAGAGAAGAGAATACATGACCATGAACAGATTAAACAAAAATTCTTCGATTAAAAGCGTTTTCAGTACCTCACCAGCAGCTACGAAGCAGCCGTCACGCGAGACGGCCACGCAGCTCAAAGGTTTAGGCATTCGATGAGAGAGCATGAGATGCGATTGCGTTCCCTTTTCCATATCATAAACCACCGCAACGCAACCGGCCACGTAAACGCAGGTAGAGGCCGTTACGCTGGAAGCTAATCCGTTTTCATTTTTCGCTGTTAATCCGATAATCTCTTTCAAAACAAACTGCGATTTCAACCAAACCAAAAAGAAAAACATCAGAAAATCGATTAGATATTCTACAATTTCTTTTGTTTCAAATTAGGGATTGATATCTACCTTTGATGACGCTGGATCTGATTTCTTGAGCTTCCGATTCGTTTTCATCTTTGAAGGGGAAATGGATTGAAATTTTGAAAGTGAAGTTGTTTCTGGTTTTCTGGTAACGTTCGAATAAAAGAGAGAGAGGGAGGGAGAGGGAGGGGGCGGGAAATCTGTTGAAATCAAAGATTGAAAAGATATGTTATGAGACACGTGTGAGAAATTATCCAAAAAAGACACGTGTAAGCTGGGCTCAGCCGTTGATGGGCTCCGCTTCTCTGATTGGTGTGAATAATATTGTGAATATTATATAATATATGTATAATTAAATGATTTAATCAACAAATATGAAAAAATATACTTATCAATAGGTAAATTAACCACAAAAATATTAAACATATAAATACTTTTGAATAAATTAGAAAATGAAACTAAATCTAATAAAATGATAATGATTTGCTAAGGAAACAAAAAAATACGATCATATTAAAAAAAAAGCAAAGAAAAGCATGTAATATACTCTCTTTTTTTTGTAAAAGGGAAATTCAATTAATCAAAACATTAACTTACACCATTCTAGTCCATGATGTGCCTAGTTTATCTGCTAATAAAAGAGAGGAAATATTTGGAGGTGGAACATTAAAGATGTGTAAACCTATCTATAAGTCTTCATAGTTTGTAGCCATCCAATGGGTTCCTTGATTGGCCTCATGATATATATGAGTGATAGTGCAATCCCAATCTCGTTGTAACAGCTCCTTAATCTGCATTAGTAAGTTTGCACATGGATCTAGTGAAAAGTTCGAACTTGAGATCTTTTGAATAGCCACCATTGAATCTGCTTCTACTTGCACCTTGAAGAATGGCCCAAAGTTCTGCAACAAGTGGGCATGTTTCACCCACCTTATGAATAAAACCGAAAAGCCAATTCCCTTCATCATCTCTTACCAAAACGCCTGCAGTAGATTCCCCAGAAATACCTTTTGAGCTACCATCCACATTAAGCTTTACATGTAAGCGATTTGGTCTTGTCCAGGATATTGGAGTTGCTATTTTAGATTGATGCTCTGTTTTCCCCAAAATATCCCAAGCTTCTTTTGCCTTGCACCGTATATGCTCTGTCACATTATCTAGCCAAAGAAAAGAGCAATCAAACATATTGCATGAGAGAAAATGACTCCCCATGGAACTCCATCACAAAGCGTTGATACAGATATTCTCTTGAATCCATTGTTGTAAGTCCATAGTAAATAAAGTATTTAAGCTCGAATCAGGTCGCATATTAAGCCACATATTTCTCGAGCAGTTGCAGTCTCTTAAAGCATGTATTAAATTTTCAGTAGCATTACTGCATCTAAAGCATAGACTCGACGAAACCACATTCTTTTTAAGTAACCAATCCGCTGTTGGTAAAAATTCACGTAAAGCTCTCCAAAGAAAAACTTTTAACTTTCCTAGGACTTGTAATCTTCCAAATCTGCTCCCAATGTATAGATGTCAATAATGGAGCATCAATTTGGCAGTCATATCATGACTTTACAAAAAAAACTCCATTATTTCTCAAGGTCTAATACCCTTCATCGGTTACAGTACTGTTGGGATCAACAAATATGACTGCTATCATCCCTATTATCTGAGCAGGAAGTAAGTGTTGTAATGAATGAAAGTCCCAATTTCCATATCCATCACAATAACTTGCCACAGCAGGTAGAGCACCTTTCACTGCAGAAATTTTTCTATTGGCAAATTTCAATAAAGGTCCACAAGCTAGCTAGGAATCCATCCCAAATAAAGTAGAGTGTCCATTATTTGGGATCATACCCAGGCCTTTAACCAAAATTTCTCTACTCTTTAATATGCTGCGCCAAGTATAAGAGTCTATAGTCTTAGCTTTATTTGATAAAATGTCCTGTTCTTTTAAATATTTGCTTTTTAGTATACAACCCAATAGGAGTCCTTATTTTTCCATAACTGCCACTTTAACTTAGCTAGTAAAGCCAAATTAAACTTCTTAGTCTCCCTAATTTGTGGCCCACCTAGTTCCTCTGAAGCATAAATTGTTTCCCAACTGAGTGCATGGAGCTTCTACACCCCATCCAAGTGACCCCAAATAAAATCCCTTTTAAGCTTATCAATTTCCAATGCTACATTATTTGGGATGAGAGTAGTTTGCATTACATATGATGCCATTGAACTAGTGATAGATTGAATTAAAGAAATCCTTCCTGCCATCGACAAATGTTTATTGCTCCAGCTCTCCAATCTTTTTTTAATTTTATTGCTTAGCTCCTGATAAGTGGCTTTTGACACTTTTCCATGAATCATTGGAGTCCCTAAGTACTTCTTAAAATCCTTAACTAAAGGAATTTTAGCTAACTGACTCAAAGCTTTCGCCTTTATGGAGTCAATATTAGTAGAAACTAACATGGAGGATTTTTCTAAGTTCACCTTCTTACCTGATGCTTGGCAAAATTTATCAAGAGTCCTTAACATCATTTTAACTTGTTATGAAGTTGCTACTCCAAATAGCATGAGGTCATCTGCAAAGTAGGCATGTGATATATTGGGTCCACTTCTTGTGAAAGACAATGGCTTCCAATTTCTTTGTCTAACTTCTTGATCAATTAAGTGAGATAACTTTTCTAGGCATAATACAAAGAGATAGAGTGATAGAGGGTCTCTCTGTCTAATACCTCTTGATGGAGAGAAAGTTTTTGATGAATTCCCATTCCAAATAATGGCAAAAGAAGGGGCTTGCACAATGTTTACAATTAAAGAAATCCAATTAAAAGGAATTCCTATTTCTGTCATTTCTTCATGAATAAAACTCCATTTAACTCGATCATAGGCTTTCTACAAATCCACTTTAAGCACCAAAGCTCTTTCTTTTCGTTTCATGGTCCTTATTGTATGGATAGCCTCTTGCACTACAATCACATCGTCTACAGCTTGCCTTCCCAGCATAAAGCTACTTTGTGATCTTCCAATTAATCCCTCAAGCATTGGTCTTAACCAATCAACTAATATTTTACTAATCAATCTAAGAGGAACAGAATACAAGCTAATAGGCTGAAATTGAGTGATTTTCTCTGGACTTTCAAGTTTGAGGATAAGGGTAATTAATGTATGATTCAAAGCTGGTAGAACCGAACCTGAAGCATAAGCTATCTGGACAAAATTAACCAAATTAGCATTGATATATTGCCAGTTCTTCTAAAAAAAGCTCACTAGCTCGAACTTTTCCTTATGTCAAATAAGGCATGTTGAATTTCTTCACTAGATAACGCCTTGGCTAAGATTGAAATTTGATCTTCATTTAACCTCCAATTTGGCGATACAAGTAATAAGACCCGAACCCCATCATCCTTGTACAAATGTTGATAAAAGTTGACAAGCATCTCCTCTAGTTCTTTAAGATCCGTACACCACGATCCATCATCTCTGCGAAATGCAACTATCTTCTTCTTCCTTTGTCTGCTTTTCACGAGAGCATGATAAAACTTTAAGTTGCTATCTCCATATTTGAGCCAATCCAATCTAACCTTTTGTTGCCAAATCAACTCTTCCTGATAGAGACCAAGATTATACTCCTCAATCAAAGTAATTTTTAAACGTTGAAGGTAATCATTGGGTTTCGCATCAACTTTCTTCTGTATTCCCTTGAGGTGCGCTAGTAACCTCCTTTATACATATACATACATATATATATATATATATATATATCTCCAAAGGTCTCTAAACTCCATTGCTGCATATTTTCAGCTAATCCTTTCAAAGTAAAATACATGTCTGCAAAGCTCCATTTTGTTTTGAGAAAATCAATAAAATTTGGGTGGGTCATCCATGCTTCTTCAAATCTGAAATTCTTTGTAACTTATAATAAAAGTGAGAAAACCGTACACCATACAAGGATCAGATGATGATCAGAATGCGTTATTGGCAAAACAAAAGCTTCAGCATGAGGGTAAATTCTTTGCCATTCTTCATTAGTTAATCCTTGATCCAAACGGACCCTGGTACAATCATGACCATGCCTTTTCTTCCACCATGTGTATTTGGGACCCCTAGTTTCTAATTCTGATAAATTGCAGTAACTCATACAATCTAGCATAAGATTACAATGAGCTAAGTTAACTCTTGTCCTTCCTATTTTTTCATCAGGTGAAGTTACCTAATTAAAGTCCCTTATCACCATCCAAGGAAGATTGTGCAAGTCACTAGCCATATTAAGAGAAAGCCACAACCTTTTCCTATCTTCCACTACTGGACTACCATATACTGCTGTAAGCAGCCATTTTGTTTTTGAAGAATTAACCATCATATGCACTAATTGGCAAAATTGAGCTAGAATATCAATTTCAACATTTTTCGGATCCCACAAGACCTATATTCCTCCTATAAAACCATCAGCTTCCACTCAAAAATAGTTCAACTTACCCAACCGGCAACAAACTTTATCTGTATTAGCACCAGAAGCACGAGGCTCCAAAAGAAAGAAAATATGTATCTTGTAAAGCTTTGTCATATTGCAAATACTCCTCACACTCCTATGAGAGGCAGCTCATCTAACATTTCATGTTAGTATATCTATCATAAAAAATATATATAGGAAACAAAAACAAATTAAACTTGAAAAACATGAGAGTCCAAAGGTCACCTTTTAAGAGGAGGTTACCTGCATGACCTTTATTCCATCATCCTCCAAATCCATGTCAGTAGCTACATCCCCCTTCTCGGCATCATCTAAAGGACCTTCCTCCATCGTCATTAGTTGCCTTTCTCTCGCCATGCCATTCACCAACCCCTACTCTAGGTCTGTCATCATTATCTTGATCATGAGATGACAGTTTAGGGAGATTTAAGGATACTACTTGAGAAACGTTAGTGTTATTATTCTCAGGTAAGTCAGCTACTGTCTTCCCACTAGATGCTCTCATTTTTGGCATTACTAAAGACACTGACGATACTGTCTTTGGTTCTCTAGCAACTTGCTACTTTCTTTTTGCCATTGAAGCTGGTGTAGAGTTCCTGGTCAAGACATTGGCCTAAACTTGTAAATTTTGCTTGAAAAGCTCTTTATTCCAAATTGGACCCGTAGTTTTACTCGATTTATTCACCGCCTGATCAGATTCTTCCTTGTTTTCTG